TATATAGTGTTTGGAGTTTATCCAATTTCAATAAGTTATGTGGTGGAATGAGATTCCTGGAACATGTGAGTTTGGGAAATACTTTTCTTGCAGACACCAAACGTGTCCAGAGGTGAGGATTATTGACTTCTAGATGATGGACGACTTTTCTTTGAGGACCGTTTAGGCTTTTTCTATGAGACGTACATTTTAATTATCAAGAGAAGCTTCGATTCTATCCGTTGTATTTCACTAAATCTCATGATTCTATCCGTTGTTTACTGATCACATTGTGAATAGTATTGGCAAATTTTGGTTTTTTGTTAATTTAATTGATTCTGTAGTCGCATAAGACAATCAAGAATTTCCAAACTCTAGCTGGAAACTTGAGGCAACAATATATCTACTTCAATTCAAGACTGAGTTGCAGAGGCTAATATTTGCTGATATTTTAAACTGATGAAACAAACAGTATAGAATAATGGAAATCTATGATGGCATGCAACGCAAACAAGTTACCGCTTTTTTTTTTCTTCGAGAAATTTTGAGATTACATTCATAATTCAGCCAAAAAAACCACAAGGGGCCAATACGAATTAACCACTAGGGGCGAAGACAATAACGGAGCGATCTTACCGAGTCCTAATTGTTTGATATTTTTAATATTTATTTTATCCTTCCTTTTATGCCTGGATTTGTTGTAGTACCATAATTTTTTTGTTATTCTTTTCAACTAGAGGCTGCTCTTTTTCCTTTTACGGTCCTTCAAATTTTTAATTATATAATGGGAGATACTTTGTATATACAAATTAAGCTTTAATTTTCATTTGTGGTCAATGGAGGTCTTATACAAAACAAAAGATGTCTCATGTGACTAGCTAAGCTTCTGTGTCCTCTGTTTTCATCTCAACTTGTGTTTTGTTTGTCCGTTCATTCTCCTTCATGCTATACTTTCTCTGCAACCCATTCCAACCTATCAGAAAACCTTCCTCAGTGATCAGATCACCAACCACAGAATCCACAGTCAAGCTAGTACCCGACCGCATTTTACTCCTCCCTTATTCCTTTTTTTCTTCTCTTTATTATTTGCCAGTGGATAGGAACAACTAAATACAATACGAAAACCCTAATTGAAGACAAAACAACAAAAATAGAATGGTAAGATTGTCAAATCAATAGAAAACTTTTATTGTGGTTTGTGTTACTCTATGGCTATCCCATTTTTCTTTAGTAGATTGTTGAGCATCAACCCTACTATCCATCATTTCCGCTGCCAAATGTTCATCTATTCATCTTGGGAGAAGTGACATTCTTAGTTCCTTTTCATCAGGCCTGTGGGAACCTGTGGTCTTTAGTTAAGAACGTGCAGAAGCATTTCATCTTATAAGAAATCATGCTCCAACACTTTTCTGTGTCCAATTTTTCCTTGCTTAATCGAGTAATGGATTTTTATTGAACATCGATCAACAAAAGTTTAGCCTATGTACTAAAGGATGGAGAGGAAATTACAAGAATCAACATAGGCAAAACTGAATCTGCCACACAAAATTAGGCTGAATTTGGTTGACGGAAGTTGCATCCAAAATTAAGCGAGGTAAAAAAATTACAAATGAGAGATATACATGATAATTGAAGCCAGGTAAGAGTGAAGGAAAAAGAAGTTATTTGTAAATATTTGACCGGTATACAAATAATTGTATGATCGTGCCAGGTATTCATGCTAAGTATCTATTTCTATATTCAATGAAAAAATAAGAAGAAAAGAACAGGGGAGTGGTAAAGAAAACAAATACCATTATAACTCTATAACAAATCCAATCGCCACACAGATACAAAGAATAAAAAGAATAAGGAGTCACAAATCAAGAACTAGCTAGTCGCAATTCAAATGCTGAAGATGCATCCTGGATGCTTAGCTACTCCGCTCATTTGCATTGTAAAGATTTCAGGGTCTTGGCAGACACATCAAAAGCTATGGTGCAGTTCATGTTGGTAGCCTTCTTCTTCTTCATTATGAACATAATTGCTACTTTTCCATTCAATCTGCCTACGCTGTTGAGAGTCAACACCCCGCTGCTCAATTCGCTGCCCAGATTTGAACCAGTTAATCCACTTGAACTCAAAGTCACCTCCACATTTCTTTTTATGGTCGAAAGCCATCCAGCCTTGCCCTTTGCGATATTAATTACTCCCACAGTCGTTCCTTGGTATTGAAATGTGACATTGGCAGCATTGAACTTGTAGGAACCCCAGTTGGCTGAGTTCTTGATTTTGATTTGGGTTGTGAATTTCGTGTCGAATGAAGGCGTTGCCGGGACAGATTCGAAGCTCTGGACGTTGATGTTGCCTAGCCTGAACCTAGGGGTCTTGACTTTCATGACAGTAAGACTCATTGTGGTGATAACTATGATCTGAAACACAACGAAAATACTAATATAGATGGCCATTTTGATTTTCTTCTGGCGTTTCAGCTCATCAGCGGAATGCAAAGATTCTGCATCACCCATGTTGATTTCTTCTAGTGGAAGGAAGTAAAGCTTCAAAAGAAAATGCTCTGCTTTTTCTCTGTCTCGCTCTGTAAAATATGAAGTGATGAGAATGTTGGTGAGGGCTGTGTGGTATTTATAGACAATTTGGTTAATGAGTTGACTGCAGGAATAATATCGACGGTGTAAACTTCCTGGAAATTCGAATCAAAACGCGCGAATAACTGGGTTGTAGTTTTTTGACTTCTTACTATTATTCTACTATTATTTGAGAACCAGACTTGAAACCTATCATACTATTTAATGTATTATATGTTTGCTGCGCCCATGGACACCTTTCAAAATGTGAAACTGGTAAAGTCCAAGCTAGCATTCGGACATAATGTATATCTATTTACCAACAATTGAAACACATCATCATATTTATCATATTACTACTACCGAAGCACTTCAAACATGAAAGGATGAATTATTCCCTTTATGAGCTTCCACATTACAATTCTACTGGATCCTATTTTCGTTCTTAATTGTATATATAAGGTAAAGACATTAAAATAAATATCCACTTCTAGGATCTATGAAAAATAGAGTTTTTGTTTCTTCGTGGACTTAAAATTACATAATCCATACCTTCTTATTTGGATTACAAATTACGTATCCAAAACTTCAAGTTTTGATTAAAAGGTGTAATCAAAACTTCAGGTTTTGAATTAAGTATGTCAAAGCAAAACTTTTAAATTAAATTTTGTATTTCAAATATGTATCATGAAACTTCTAATTTTAACTAATTGCTTAACATGGAACATCTTATCCACATAAGATAATCAATAAATAATTCATAAGGAAAATAAATTAGACTTTAACTTAAAATAATAACAACTGCGAGTTCTCATTAAAAAAAAAAAAAAAGATAAGCATCTAAACATAAAGCATAAAGTTATAAATAAATTAAATATATAAAATGTCATATCTAAGATAAATTTAATTTATAGAACTACAAAATCTAGTCTAAAAATATTTGCAAATTTCTAATACAATAAATTGAAATAAATTCTCAAACTTCAGGTTTCAAAGTATAGAACTTCTAGTTATATATTGAATTTGATCTTGAACCTTGGGTTCAAAAAGATCATACAAAAGTATTGATTTTTTTATTTTAAAAACACTAGGTTCAAAACTAAATGATAAATCAAAGATCACAATAAAATAGACATGAAAATTGAAGAACTTCGAGTTCCAATTAGATTGTGTAATATAAAACTACAGAATCTAATCAAATATAAGAATAATAAGAACAACGAACCAATGAACTTGGAAGTATCAAATTGTTTAGTACAAAGTACATCATATTTTTTTAATTACAATGTTTTGATTCCATTGTGGAAAATATAATAAAGATTTAAAAATTGGATTGTTTAGCCAAATCTTTTAATTACATACTTCGGCATTCTTCAACTTGTTACGCTTCTCTTTCCATTCCAGACTATTATTTTTCCAATGATTCTTAGATTCACACTCGAAGCAACAATCATTGTCCTTGGATTTAGAATTCCTACCATTGTCTTTCTTGTCATCACGCTTGTTTGAACGACCCCTTTCTTTAGTCTTTACGACTAAACCTTCGCCTAGAGAGCCCTATCCACTATGTTTAGACATTCGGTGGTGGGTGAGAATGCCTTGTACCACCTCCTCAATCTTGAGAATGCTCTTGCTAAACGTAAGTGTTGTTCGAAAGTGCCTATATGATAGAGGTAAGGATGTCAACAACATAAGAGCCTTACCCTCCGTATCATATATAACTTTCATCATCTCCAAGTCCACAATACACCTATTGAATGTGCTAAGATGCTCGCTCCTCCATTCAAAGATTTAGAAGCTCCTCCATGAAGAAGAGTTTGTTTGATAGTGATTTTCCTGCAAACATTTGTTCGTGCTTTTCCAATGTTTGCTTTGCGGTGTCTTCCATCACGTTGAACAACACCTCATCTGAGATGAAGTTCTCAATGGTCCCCACTCGTCGAGGTTGTTCCACTCCTCCACTGTCATGATTTTCGACATTTTCTCCTTACCTGCCAGGACAACATTAAGACCCAGTTGGGCTAAGGCGTACTTCATCCTTCCTTCCATAGCATGAAGTTCTCTTTACTGGTGAACAACTTCAACTCGATCTTCATGCTAGCCGTATGTGGTTGCATCGACTTCGTCTCTTTAGCCTTCTTGTCGCCCACAACCTTGCTCAAACCCTTTGGTTTACCACCCAAAAAAAAAAAAAAACATTAGCTCTCTATTCTTTAAAACCTAGCTCTCTATTTCTCTCACAACCTTGCTCAAACCATTTGATGCCCTTGTAAACTCTCTCTTGTCTTATGAATTAACCTAGCCCCAAAACTTCTATTTATAGCTTGTAGAACTTGGGTTACAAGTCTTGTTAAAATAGGATTCTTAAAACCTGTTGGAATAAGTAAAGATATCTTATTTCCTAATCCTAATTCCTAAACCAATATCGAAAAGGGAAACTGTTTCTTAAATCTAGTAGGAAATCCTAAGCGCGCTTTTCCTTATCCAAATTGGATTTCCATAGAATCCGACCCAACCTTTTTGGTCAAGCCAACTGCAACAGATTGTTTAGCATCAACCTTACTATCCATCATTTCCGCTGCCAAATGTTCATCTATTCATCTTAGTTCCTTTTCATCAAACCTTTGGGAATGTGTGGTCTTTGTTGGCGTGAGTCAATGTTCCTATTAGGAATAGAATTTGTTCCTGTTAGGAATAGAATTTATATTTTATTGTAATTATCTAATTTGAGTAGAATTAGGAGATTTTGTACATATTTCCTATTTGTACCCACTCTGTATGTAGTATATATATTCCTCCTTAAGAGAAGAATAAACATATCAATTTAAACCCTAATTATTTTTGAGTTGGTATCAGAGCAAGTTCCGATCCGTCTCTACAACATCAAAACCCTAATTATTTTTGAGTTGGTATCAGAGCAGGTTCCGATCCGTCTCTACAACATCAAAACCCTAATCCTAAAAATACCTATTTCCGCTGCACCTAGCCTATAAACCTAAGCCTGTGCAGTCTTATATCTCTTACTATCGTCGTCGCCACCTAATCTGTTGTTGCCGCTGCCATCTATCACCATGTCAGATATCACTGAATCTTCTTCTTTTACTCCTATTGTTATGATTCATACCGAATCGTCCACCAACCTACCTATGGGATTCAAATTGAATGGATCCAACTATGAGGTATGAGCTTCGATGATTGAACTCCATGCTACTACATAAGGTAAATTGGGTTACTGACTGGCGACACTGATGTTCCTGATTCCAAAGACCAGAAATTTGGGAAGTGGAAAATTGCTGATGCTGTTATGAAAAGTTAGATGCTGCGAACTATGGAACCCAGTTTGTTGAATATGTTTCATACTCTACCTACTACTAAGGAAATTTAGGATGCTGTTAATCAGATGTTTTATGATGGATCTAACATATCCTAACTCTATGAACTGTGGTGCCAGGTTACCCCCTCAAGCAAGAGGGTCGTCCTGTCTCTACCTATTTTGCCGAACTTAAGGCAATCTGGCTTGAATTGGACAAGAGACGTACGTTTCAGATGAAGTGTGCTGATGATATGAACACTTTTCAGGATGCTGTTATGGCATATCCTATGTATGATTTTTTGGCTGGCCTTGACGATACTTATGACAAGGTCCGCAGTGATATTCTACGGAGTGATAAAGTTCCAAGTATTGAAAATGTATTTTTTATGGTTTGTCGAGAGGCTCAATGCCAGATTACTATGATTGGATTCGGCACTAAGATTAGGAAACCTACTGTTGTGTTTGCTTCCAAAAACACTACTTTGGTTTCTCGGCCTCTAGGGTCTTGCTCTTCTACTGTTCCACCTCGTCGCCTGACTTCTACAGAAAAAAACAAACTGAAGTGTGATCACTGTGGTGAAAAGAGACATACAATCAACACATGTTGAGCATTGCACGGGGTACCAGATTGGGAGAGGGAGCGGAGTCGTTTCAAAAGGGAACAACTGGACAACAAAGCTCATGTGGTTGTTGTCCCCACTTCTGTGGCTGACATCACCACTGGGCATGGCCCTCTTATTGCTACTCCTCCTCCGACTTTGACTGCGGTCTCAAGCACTCCAACACCTCAACCTCCAGGTAACTTTGGCAAGGCTTTCCATGCATATGATACCCACGATACAGGTTGGATTATTGATTCAGGAGCTACTAACCATATGATATATAATTCTACTTTATTCTCTACTACTCTTCCGCCTCATCGTGATCATGTTCTGACTGCTAATAATGTTGTTGCTCTTATCATGAGGACTGGTTCTATACTATTGACATCTACTTTACCATTGGACAAAGTGTTACTAGTTTCATCTTTGTCTAGTAATTTATTATCTATGCCGCAAGTTACTGAGCAGTTAAACTGCATTGTACTTATGTATTCGTCTTTTGTCTTACAACAAGATATCTAGACTCGGGAGATCTTTGGTCGTGGTACTAAAAATGGGGACCTTTATTATGTGGATGATGTGGCAACTAGTCGGGTTCTTCGTGCTGGTAGTGCCGAAACTTCTCAGCATCGCCGGATTTGGTTGCTACATTACTGATTTGGTCATACCTCCTTTGGATATTTACGGCATTTGTTTCCTACATTGTTTAGTGGTGTCAACGAGTCTGTTTTCCAATGTCAGACTTGTAGTTTAGCTAAGAGTCATCGAGTATCCTACCTTCTAAGTTGTAATAAACAGCTTATGCCATTTGATTTAGTTCATTTTGATGTTTGGGGACCTTCTCATGTTTCCACAGCCTTGGGAGTTCACTGGTTTGTGTTATTTGTGGATGATTGCACTCGTATGATGTGGTTATATGGGATGAAAAATAAAAGTGACGTGGTTGAAATTTTTCAGCGTTTCTATCAGATGATTCAAACTCAATTTATGTTTCTTATCAAGGTTTTTCAATATGATAATGGTAGAGA